CTTCACTGTGGCCCCACACTTCTCGCATCTGAACTCGACCTCGAAGTGTTTGCTCCGCAGATGAACCAACAATCCGGGATACATCACCCTTGGTGTAGAACATCCCTTCCAAGCACACATAATTCGACCTCGCGAGTCCGTCTCCATGTCAGAACGGAAAGGTGGGAGATGTGCTTTCTTCATGTGAGCTTCGAGCTCGGCAAGAAAGGAGGTTCGGTAGTCGGGCGCAGAAGGGGAGGTCGTGAAACGTAGGAGCATGTAACGGGGTTACCCTCTGGATCCTTCCCCCATTGACAGGTCAAAGGGTTTGGGAAGACGGGAGTATAGTCTGCGTCCGAGGAGCGTTTCCCGCCGCGGGTGGGGAGAGACTTGCAGTCGGCGTCGTAGTCGTCGGTGACAAACGCGGTAGGAGCATGAGCCGCTGCAGGTCGCTCACGGTGCTTGCGAGGCTTGGCATTTCTAATAGGACCTACGGAGGGTTCTAATGGAGGCCTAACAAAGTCTTTCGCGTCGTTGTCGGGAAGATCCATGATCGGGGCAGGCTCGCAAGCCCTCCAGGTGAAAAGCATACTGGAAGGAACGGATCCTCGAAGATGCTTCGGGATATTTGCATCAAGGCATTCGTCCATGCGCGAGCTGAAATCGATGTTTAAAAGACGATGCTGGAGAGCCTGAATAACTTGGAAACACACCTCTGTAGCTCGACGTCCATCGGATCCTCCGACGAAGTCTTCTGCTGCGCTTCATGGTTGGGATTCTCCTCACAAAAGGGAGGGAGCTGTCTCCTTTGAATAGGATGCCTGCACCTGCGCCAGTATCGTGGTATCCCAGAGAAGCATGGGCGGGGGGAGAAGGGACCCTCCGTACAGAGAACTCGGTTTCTTTGCTCCCTGGAAGGCTGAAACTATCGTAAGCGGTGGATGGTGTGGAAGTCTCCGAGCCGACCAAAGTGGAGGGTGTAGGGACCTCTTGCGTCGGAGAGCGCTCAACATCGTGGCCTGCGTGGTGATAGTATTGGTCGCTGTGGAGACATCAACATGCGTGTAAGCTGCAAAGGAAAGAAGTCTTACCAGGCTGGGGTATTTTCTGAATTGAACGACAAGCCGCTGGAGATTGCAGTGTGATGCACGCCCGTGAGCTGTGGCCGATTGGGATGCATGTCCGGGAGAAACGACGAGACACTGGTACCAAAGAGAGGATGACTCAAGTGAAGACATAGGAAAGCTTGTCTACTTACCTATTCGCGGCGTTTAAAGCGATGGGGATATAAGTGTGATTCGAATTTGAACTGTGGAAGACGATGTCAGAAACCGTCCAATTTTCTCACATAGAGGGAAGCTTACCAAGTCCATGTTTCCTCCGAGGGTGGGTTCACGGGTTCACTGACGCATACCATCAAACGTCTTACCCAGACCTTCCACTTGTTGTCGTCCATGAACATGGAGTCCATGCGCTTCATGTGGCTGAGAATCTCTCCATCGGGTAGAGACCATACGCTCCGATGGAGCAAAAGTAGATCCTCTGTGAACACGAGCCCATTGTCTCCAGTTATATTGTTCGGTAGGTTCAGCGGATGATTAGCGTCGGTAGCTTGGAAGAACTCGCGGGAGAGTGCTGGAGCTGGTTGCTCCTGCATGTTGACATGTCGATCTTGAGGCAGAGAGAATTCAAAGTTCGGATAGATGAAGGAGTGTGTGTTCGTGATGGTGGTACCAGCCACCAGTGTCAACCTGTGGCCAGTGTCAATGGTTGAACAAGAAATGAAAATAAGGTTGGAAGCGACGAACGATTGACTCTGTCCACAGCCGGCTGTGAAACTGTGCCCAGCAACAGTGAGATTGGAGGTTCCGAAGTCAAAAGATTTCATCATAGCGCGTCAAGCGTAGCGTCCGATAGTCAAATGGGGTCGAGAAGTGGTGGAAAGCATTTGATTTATCCCAGCCTAATATACCATCCTCCGCTTTGCCCACTAACGGAACCCCTTCTGGGCATCTATAAACAATGCTCGGTCCAAAGGCCTCTTCTGAGTGAAGAATGGTGCACCGAAATGATAAACAATAGTGAGAGATGTTCAAGCGTTGAACTGAACATCCCTATAGTCTTCAACGTGCTCGACATTGTGGCCCCAGCATATCCGGATTAGGAAGTCGGTCAAAGGCGGAGAGCTTGCCAGAGGATTCAACGATAGATTTTTCTAAGGCCATAGCACCGAGTTTTCAGCTTCGTCGCAGAGAACCAGACTGCGAAAAGTGAATTCATGTCGAATGTGCTCCAACTCTCTATTGTCATGGCACATGGACAGCCATTCTCGGTATGCCCGGGCTTCTGTCCCTGGTTGAACCGGGTATGATATGCCAAAAAAATTGGAGGAACAACTTGAGGACTTAGAGACGATCGTCGACCAGAAGGGTTGCTAGTGAAAGTTGGGAAAAAACAAACGGACTCGGAGCCGCAGGCCGAAGCCGGCTGCCTGTGGTACCTGCCGAAGAACCCTCCGAGCTCCGAAGGTAGTACTTGGCTTCCTTAGTACCAGAGATGTGGTCATCCAAGTACGAAAGCTCTATAGGTCAAATTACTACAGTTCTAAGTATACTCTAAAGGTTTATATAAATACAACATTCCGCACAGCAAAGAGGATAAAAAAATCATCTCGACGTTCGTGGTTCCGGAATGAAATGAAGAGCACTGAAGCGTCTAGCTTTTGGATGAGGAAATATGCCATACACAAGCCTCCCATAGCGCCCATGGTTTCCACTCAACCATACATCCCACTCTTTCTGCTGAGGAACGGAAAGACTGAACAAGGATTCAACCACCACATTACCTGTCAGTCCGTTCAAGGAACTCGCATCTTCATCCTCGGAGTGACAATGTTCGAGAGTTGGGAAGCTGACCCGGGGAGGTAGAGTCCGGTAATCGATCCTCATGACCAGTATTCCAGCGTGTCGTTCTCGCGATGCGCGCTCTTCTTCGAATGGATTATCGGGTGAACGTGATTTCAGGTGCCGACTCGAATCGTTCTCCATCTGCCAGAAGCAAAAGGCAGTTTGTTGGGGACCCAACTGATCAACTGCGCCAAGTCCTATATCCACAATGTGAGCATAGTCATAATAGCTTATCAGCACGCTTACACTTACGCGGGAAGCCACCTTCGCGAGCCCTGATATCGGCAATAATCTTGCATTGATCTCGGTGTGCCGATTTCCAGGACGCGCGCTGACATTCCTTGGAGCAGTACAAGCTGATCGTACAGCCCGAGCAGCGACGCGTCGGACCCAAATAGTCTTCCAGTCCATTCGGACACTAGGAGTCGAAATTATTAGCATTCAGAAACAGTTTGATCGCCCCGCAAAAATGGCAGCTAACCCTTGGATTCCCGCAAGCAGAGAGAGACGGACAAGTCCTTTTGTCTTCGATTCGCAGACTTGCAACATCCCTCAGAAGTTTGAATGTTTCCTCGACTTTCTGCGGCAGGGTCCTCGCTTGGAGCCTATCCACTCTGCTGAGAGACCGACGTAGAGCTCGAAGAACGGGGATGTACGAAGCATAACAACCAATCAAACGAATGAGTTCGACGCACTGATCCTGAAGATGTCGGTCGCCAGTGACGGTCAATCGACTCCTTAGGTCAACATAAATGAGTAGTCCAGCATCATAGATCGACTCCAGGATTCGGTTATCGATTGCTTCCACGATACAAGGGTATCCGTGAGTTTGGCATTGGGTTTCGATGTAGGAGATGCATCCCTTCATGAACCCAATGACGTTATGGCTCGTGTCAGGATTGAAAGGGACTTTGGTGAGTCGTTTGATTAGGCGAGCCATCCATTTCGACGCTCCGCTCCTAACAAACGCCAGGCTGAGTGCACTCGAGAGCGCAGCGAAATGGATAATCATGAGAATATTACTGGAAAGACTCGTTTCGTCAATCTCGTGGGTGGTCGAGGTTGCTTCACGCATAATGGCTCCGAGGAAGGCGGAGACAGTGGGAACGGGTTTAGCGTTGAGAACAACTAAACATTGTTGCTGCCAACAACTCCAATCGTGTTGGCGCCGTTGAAGGGTTCGGAAGGCGTGATGTAAGTGCCGCAAGGACTCCGCGTGTAACCTTGTATCGAGCAAACGAAATTCTGTGATAAGAGGTACGAAAGAGTTGGTTTTCAACATAAGCTCGGCGACCTCCGGGATAACAAGAAGGTTGTCGACGAGCGAAGATGCGGAGTATTCAACATCAAACCTAGAAAATGTTGAGTCTGCACGGTTATCCGAAATGATTTCGGCGATAAAGAATGACAACCATGACCAGACTGACGGCCAAAATGGTGTTATACGTGAAGGAAGCACCGCCTGAGGATTGCCAGAGATCGCTCGAGACAGTGCGCCGAGGGACAGAGAAGCTGTGTGAATCCTGTGGATGTCACGTTCAAACTCCGCCGCTCGGGGCGGAGGGAACGATAAGTGGTGGAAGAACACAAGTATGACTTTGTGCAAAGTCTCGGGAGGCGTGGTCTCTTGAATTCTGTCCCCCAGTCTCTTTATCGCGACGTCGTAATTTGACTCCCGCATGGCAGCGTTGATAAGAAGCTTTAAGGGAGATACTGGGTCAGCGAAGCTGTTCGTGGCCTCAAAAGATGCCTCACCTGGAGACTCGCCATGCTATGGGAAAGACTGGATATCAAATTTGTCAAAGTTGAACGTTGGCACCCAACGAGGCATCCAAAGCTAAAGAAGAGCACAACTCACATCGTGGCACAGGTTCAAGGAAGGCATTATGGATGACGTAACGCTAACAGAACAAATCATCGGAAAGAGGCTGGAGCCCGGGATTAGCGCCAGCCATAATACCAACTTCATAAGTAGTCTAATCCTGATTCAGGGACATTGCTTTTGTGGACACAGGGTAGGAACGGACATTAGACTGGGAAGCTTTATCCCTTTTTCACAGGCTGTCATTAGAAAGCATGCGAGCTATAAACACAACCATACTAAGATAAGACATGTGCCCCATGGCTGAGTTGGTTACAGCGTCCGACTGTTAATCACGTTCATACAATCGGAAGGTCGTGAGTTCGAGCCTCACTGGGGCAGTTCTTTTTTGCACCACGGACCCTTTGACAGGTGGCGCTGTGGATCGGTTATCAAGCCTCAAGGCTCACGAGGCTGCAGGCACGATTGAACTGATCCTGACGATTTCCGGTTAGTAAGTACCCCGAGCATGTACGCTCGGCCCTCGGGCAATTCTACCTGGCCCCAGGTAACTGAATTACCAAGTCTTGCCAAAATTGAATGAGAACGTTCCGGTCCTAAGAAGTACTTAGAAGACATTCCATGCTTTGCCCACCCATGCCAACTCTTTACCATGCCCGCTGGCAGGACTGGCCCATTTCCTCCCGAGATTCTTTGGCTCATCCTTCATCACCTCGTCGAATCCATCCACACACAAGATGACAAGCTCATATCGAATTCGTATAGGCCCTCCTCCTACCGAAAGGAGCTAAAACGACTCTCCTTGGTCTCAAAAGCTTTCCTTCTTCCCTGCCGCTTTCACCTCTTCAGAACAGCTTGGAATATCGACCTAGTGCCGGCGAGACTATTAGAGTTTATCGAGCTGAGTTGCAATAAGAGTTCTACTTTCACCACCGAGCTATTGAAGGAACTCAAAATCACTTCCCCGATATCATCCCCGTTCAGGTCGATATTCTCGAAAAGCCATCACCAAACAGAAAGAAATCCGCAACTCTGGAGGGCCAGGGAACTATTTGGAGGGTTGACAAAGCTTACTTTGGATGGTTTCAATATGGAAGTGTGGCACGCGGCGTCCGAAGCGGATGCGCCTCGTATCCTCTTCGAAGGCTTTACTTCGTTGAAAACTCTTGTACTTCTGAATCCGACATTCCACGGAATACAAGACTTTTACGATGTAGTCACCTCTTTCCCTTCCCTCGAAACCCTCGACGTGGCACAAGCTGTCAGGTTCGCCAACCCTACAGATACGGTGGTTCAGACTGCAAGTCCTACAACGCCCTCGTTAAGATCGATCTCCTTTGACTTGGAGGATCTTAATATACGAGAGTTCATACCTGCCCTACGCGTCTTTTCGAAGGTCCTCACCCATTACGACCTCGTCCACATCAAACTACGGGATTTCGCAGCCGTAGGAGAGATAATTTCATTGGCGGAGGGGGGAAGGGAACCACAGAGTTGGAAACTAGACGTACCTGGGAAGTTTCGGGACATAAGAGGGCCCAGGAGTGAGCACCCCAATCACAATTCCTCATGATCACTGACAAATGAAATCACGCTCCCTTTACAGTGGGTGCCCTTCGCGCCACCGCGAAGAACGTGCTCGATATCTCGAAGAACCACAACATACACGAGCTTGACCTGAACGGGAGATGGTGGTGGAACGTCGTGGATCAGTTATTTTTGGACGAGACCCTTCCAGTCTCGAGGTCCAGGGCGGCATGGTCCATGGCTACTCAGGAACGACCGCAGCATCTGAGGTCCGTAATTCTCCCGCGCTGGGTCACAGATGCCAGTCCCGTGCTACGGATGCTCGACGAGATCTTTGATGAGCCTCGGTACTCCCTCTTGGAGAGCATCTACTGCTGGAAGGAGCGAGTTGAAAGGGATGATCTTATGCCGAGGGCGGCTGAGAGGGGTATCCTGAAGAATGACCTGTACTATGACTCCGTCGCATGGGAAATGCACCAAAAGCTGGAAGATGAAAACCGCCGGTGGATCAACCTAGAACGGTTAGAAGGAATGGAAGGTTGAGCGGGTATTGGATTGTATATGCAAAGATCACATTACTCCTTCCTCAGAGCCATCGTTTCTGGGTCTTCGTTGATGATGACAAACACGCCTTTTTTGAATACGAAGCTTGTACATGGCTTTAGGGAGTTTCTGGGCTAATAGGTATCGGGGGAACATGTGTATTTATCATTCTCTTTCGGGTGGTCTTGAATCCTACAGCCCATCCTGACGCGGGGAATGCTTGATATCCAAGAAACTTCCCATTTGATCCGCCGGGATGTGCGTCTCGTCCCTCTGACAGTGAGCAATCAGAATCTCGTACCAAAGTGATTTATAGTCTGCGGGCAGACTCACCGAACCAACATTTTCCAGCGGAACGGCATCTCTCCAAACAGATTCAGAATCTTCCGCGTCGTTACAACGCACCCCAACACTACTGATCCCCGTCCTGTTCGTGCTATAAGCACCCCCTCGACTGCTTCCTATGCCAATAACATTCTTGGATCCCTCAGACCCTCGGGAGCCGGATATCCTTACTCGGCTATTGAAGACAACTAACAGGGAGTTTGAGTATACCTTCGCCAGTGCGAGGGCCGGAGTGATGTGGTAATCTTGCGTAGGAAACACAAGGAACAGTATCAGGTCGACAGAAGCAATGGCAGCTGATGGACAAAATTTTCATCAGTTGGACTCTTCGGGAGCGAACGACGTAGAATGGTAGACCAACCCGTAAGGCTACCAGTCTCCATAGTCAGCCGTATAAGCCGCTTAACGAGATCCCGCGTCGCGTGAAAACCTTGATTGTATCGAGAGAGCTATAGATGGTCATCATCGTGTCAAGATGGCGGACACAGTGGAGTATCAAGAGATCGAACTCACGACGTATAACATTGATACGGCGATAAGTATATCACAAGCTGCGCTTCCTCCCAGCCAAAACTGTTAAAACTTGAACTCGCGTGTCCCGATCTACTTGAACACGAAATTGACAACTAACCAATGCAGGAATAAAACATGGTTCCCTAATTTTCGAAAAGAAACCGACCGACTTGGCAATTATTCCTGTTGCGATAGCTCCCCCAACTTGTGCAAGAGCTATCTGCGAGAAGCGATCAGACCACCGTCTCGGGTAACGACAATGATTAACAGAAAGCAACTCACGAGGACAATGATGCCGGGAAGGAGTCTGTGCTTAGACAGCAAATATAGCCTGTACGCAAAATATACCTGAACGCAGAAGGCAACTGGAAGACCAGGGTGGAAAGAAGTTGGTTCAGATTGGAAAGATTGACACAGGGCTCAAGGCTCACCAAAACCGTCCAGAATGCAAACATCAAACCATATCAAGTTTATCCGATCAAGGGCCTGAGGGTTTCCAAACCCGAAAGCGAAGTTCTGGAATGCGTCCCAAGTTACCATGGTTGTCTGTACGGTCTCGAAGACATAGATGCTGTAGACAAGGAGTTGGAACGCCAGCCTGTCTTTTGGGAAGGCCGTGTAGTACAAGTCTGGGGAAGGTGAATGAGCGTGCTAGGAGGGAAGAACACCCGACGACACTCACAGGTTTGTACTGACAAAACGCCATAAAGACCCCAGTTAAACAGATATCCGAGGAGCTTTAAAAAGTGAATCCCAAATGCCCTGCGTCTTTTACCCGAGTCGACGTACCAAAGGCCCTGTTCTAGCGACACGATTGGGTCAGATAGCCACGAAAAACACCACCAAGGAATCTCTTACACATTCGAAAGTGAAGGTGGTGCCTCGGCAGAAGCCATCGTTGGAGGATTGAAGTCTTCTTAGCAAGTCGAGCGGGGTGACCTGAAAGGTGGAACATGCACTTTGTTCTATATATCTACTCGCTTCGATGCCCCGTGGCCTAATTAGAGCCTTTAGAGGGAGATGACACAGGTGCCAGCTATATCGGAACCTCACCTGGTCTTGTTCTTACACAATCCATCAGATTCTTCCTTGATGCGGCGCATGAAGAAGCAAAGAGGCCGAGAATGAGACCCTATTGTTGCCGGATGAGGAAGCTATTGGGTGTCAAAGCGAAAAGATCGTCGGAAGAAAAAGATTAAAAGGCTCTGCATCATTCATCGTCATGATGGGAGGAATAGAGGTTGCTCACAATACCGGCGCGGAATTCCCGTCAGAGCTTGTCGGCTGACACAGTACTGAGTATGCTGGGGTAAAGCGGCTTTTCAACTGTTTCGAGAAATGGTACAGTAAGCTAAGTACTTACTGCGGTTCTTACAGACACTCGAACCCAATAAGAAAATGTAAGTAAGAGAGTCCTCCGAGATGAAGACTTCGCTTGATGCCATCGAGCTATCACTGTTCGAAGCTACTGATCCTGATACAAAGCTTAATATATCCTCCATCTCGTCCTGACAAGCGCACCACAACGAAGCTTCTCCAACTCATCACCGAAACCATCAGCCAACCGCTCGACGTCTGGTGCAACGAGAACAGCCGTTACAAGTATCGCTCGAAGGTTCCCAAAATACGCCGACTCGATAGCCCGGTCCAGATCACCAAGATCCTCCTGGTAACAGCGGGAGTCCTTCACACGAACACCAGGAAGCGTGATAGATTCCAAAAGTCCGGGTTCCTGAGCGTGAAGCCCAAACCTCGACAACAAAGCAACTGCAATCTTCCATTCTAACCCATCCAAACCCAAATCAACAACCTTGCCATTATTACGCGGGAGATCGACGTATTCGTGGAGACGAGCTTTCTCATCTGCCCGCAGGTCTTGGAACTCTAGATTCCAAGACTGTCTATCTGGTCCAGAGGATCCTGCCGCGACCACGAACGCTTTCAGAACTACCAAATCCTCGCTTCGTATGCTCTGAACATGATACGACTTGACCCGCGGAGCCAGCGACGCAACGAGACTCGATAGGGACGCCAGTGAAACGTTACGAGCATCGATGGTCAATGATTGGAGGCTCTTCGGTAGCTTTTCGACAGCCACCAAAGCCTCCTTGCGCGAGTGGTCGTGCACCTGAAATGGCTTCGAGTTGGGCGGGTAGAGTTGGTAGCGGATGAAGAGGGTACGAAGACTCGAGAACTGGCAGACAACGCCGACCAAGTCCTGAATGCTGGGGAATATGACATTGAATAGTCGTAGCGAATGGAGGTATTGAAAAGTAGGGACAGAGAAGGGGGAAGTACCCAGGATATCGACGTTCAAATCCGAGCGGAAGGTGCGGTCGTAAGGGCTAATGATGCCTTTGATATTCAAACACTGCAAATGTGCGTTCGAATACTCGGAGTCCAGGATGCAGCATAGTTCGGGTAAAAGAGGTAGCCTGGAAATATCGAGGTAG